AACTCAGCCTTATATTCATTGGAGAAACGAAAGTGGAACCAAAAATAAAACAACTACATGATGGTATTTCATCATTTTTCATCTAAAATTACCGAGTATTCTTTTCAGCTGCACTTTTACTATAGTTACTTTCAGTTTCAATTAAATTTTGCTCTCTTTCTTTAACCAATATGGGGTGTAAGAGGTCCTGGGCATTCGCTTTTTGGTTAGTGTATCTGGTGGAAGTATAACAGATACACTTACAGCTCTGGCCTGCTTTGCACGACAAAGAGGACAACAGTTTCTTACTTCGGTGTTCTTCTTCTGTCAACAGGACATGAAGCTAAAAATGCCATGAACACTGATTATCCTCATTATCCTGAATTAAAAGAAAAGAGTTTAGATACATTTGAGATTCCTAGCGGCCATTGATATCCAGAGGTTGTGTCCGCCCGCTGGGTCAAATGGATCCGGTTTCTAGATTGAACTTCGCTAAACATATGTATAATATCTCTTAACTTTTCTGTTAGAACTTGGATACATGCTAAAGTCTGACCGATTATGGTTCATGCAATATTTTCAAATTGAAGGTGGGTGCTTAACGATATCCATTTTCGCTCAGTTATTGATTCTCCTCTTTAAGGTTGCAGTAGTTGAGGTGTTGAGCCTGTCGGTGTAGCCCCTGTCTCCCCCGGTTTTTGTACCAGCTGTTCATTGTGTTGTATCACGATGATGATAACAGAGAAGAAGTAGATGGCCTTTCCACCCTCTCGATGTTGCTGATGGGGTGTTTGCGGAACAATTTAACAGGTAAATGTGGAGGAAACGCATTTCAAATTCCTTTACCAAATCGTAGTTTAAACTGAGCCCAGCCTGACACTTTACAATTGATGTCTGTTTTCCCTTTTCAATCTGAATCATGGAGAGTCTGTAACTCAGACACTCTACTGTAATGTTCACCAACCTGACTCTTGAAACCTCCAGAGGATACAAGCACGGCTACATGGTCTTTCCATGTCGATTTCAGATATAAACATATTTAGCATTTAGATTGTTTGATAAATTATAACAGATTCTGTTCCCTTAGAGAGAAGAAATGCCGACTCACTTCTGTCCAAAATTTGTGACTCCTTATTCTGCGATTTTGCCTGTCATTCCTCGAATACCTCAAAAGGGTGAAACAACTTTTCTGTGTCTACTCAGTCGATGTTTCATTGCACACCTCTTGAGCATGTGTGTCTTGAAGATGTGCCTCTTGACTCTAGAGTGGGCCACTGCCATAACGTTACAAGATCCCCCCACGCAGCTCGCTCGCATACTGACGTTAATCTGACATTGATAAACACATGGCATGATTGCTCACACTCATTTCGCTTCCGACCTCTGCAATGGAATAACACAAACTAATTTTGTCTGACGTTAACGGTATTCGAATATCCAGCTGTCATTCATAAATTCACTGGCGATATTCTCATATTTATTTTGTTCTTTCATTGTCTTTGTTCATTTCCTGTCATTCTGAAAAGTCGTTTCCACATCTTCTATGTCAGTTTCCTGGATTAACAATCTACAGTTTGTGAAGAGAGTACGTTTGCTCAGTATGTGTTTCTGTATCAGGGATGGTTTGTACACTGTGGTCATACCTTACAATGTAATGAGGCTGATTCTTAAAACAGACGCCAAGTTACGTTCTCTTTAGTGGCGGGTTGTACTTCAGTTGTCTGCATAATGCTGCAAAACCTGCTCAGTTACTTGATTTGTTCGTTGTATTTAACAAACCAGACATTCATCTTCATTGTTCAGAAAAGGGGGACCTTCCACCCCAACCTTAAGTTTACCTGGACCATCTCTAACACCTCTCTCCCCTTCCTGGACCTCTCTGTCTCCATATCCGGCAACCACCTAGAAACCGATATTCATTTCAAGCCCACCGACTCCCACAGCTACCTAGAATACTCCTCCTCCCACCCACCTTCCTGCAAAAATGCTATCCCCTATTCCCAATTCCTTCGCCTCCGCCGCATCTGCTCCCAGGATGAGGCATTCCACTCCCGTACATCTCAGTTGTCCTCGTTTTTCAAGGACCGTAACTTCCCCTCCTCGGTGGTCGAGAACGCCCTCAACCGTGTCTCCCACATCTCCCGCACCTCATCCCTCACACCCCGTCCACGCAATAAAAACCAAAAAAGAATCCCCCTCGTCCTCACGTACCACCCCACCAACCTCCGGATCCAACGCATCATCCTCCGACACTTCCGCCATCTGCAATCCGACCCCACCACCAAAGACATCTTTCCCTCCCCACCTTTATCTGCTTTCCGGAGGGACAACTCTCTCCGTGACTCCCTCGTCCGCTCCACACTCCCCTCCAGCTCCACCACACCCGGCACTTTTCCCTGCAACCGCAGGAAGTGCTGCACCTGCCCCCTCACCCCCATCCCAGGCCCCAAGAAGACTTTCCACATCAAGCAGATGTTCACCTGCACATCTGCCAATGTGGTATACTGCATCCGCTGTACCCGGTGTGGCTTCCTCTACATCGGGGAAACCAAGCGGAGACTCGGGGACCGCTTTGCAGAACACTTACGCTCGGTTCGCAACAAACAACTGCACCTCCCGGTCGCGAACCATTTCAACTCCCCCTCCCATTCCTCAGACGACATGTCCATCCTGGGCCTCCTGCAGTGCCACAACGATGCCACCCGAAGGTTGCAGGAACAGCAACTCATATTCCGCTTGGGAACCCTGCAGCCCAATGGTATCAATGTGGATTTCACAAGTTTCAAAATCTCCCCTCCCCCCCACC